GCCGAAGCTCTAACCACTGAGCAAAAACCGGCCAGGGCTGAGCTTCAGTTCTTTAATCAGTAAAATAGAGATGATAATACCTATCTGTCAGGTTTGTTGTGGGGATTAACAAAAAAAGAAAAACAATTTGACAATATCTGTCACCTAGTTGGGACCCAATAAATGTAAGTTTTGTTTTTATAGAGTTGACATCCTTTCTGTGAATACCTAGGGGACCATTACATGTAATAACTGATATAATCATGCTCAAAGGGGGCACTCCCAACATTTAACCAACAAATGTAATCTTTCAAAAATACCTGTAATTGTTGAACTGGGTGCCTAGGATCCATAGATAAAAGAAAAGCATCTGGTCCTGGCTGGTTTGGCTCAGCAGTTAGCACTGTTGGCCCGCAGACCAAGGAATCGTGGGTTCAATTCTAGTCAAGGGAATGTACCTCAGTTGCAGTCAGTCCCTGGCCCTGGTTGGGTCATGCAGGTGGCAACTGGTCGATGTGTCTCTCTCACATCGATGTTTCTCTGTCTCCCTCCTATTCTGTCTGAAGATAATTGTAAAAATATCCTTGGGTGAGGATTAAAAAAAAAAAAGCATCTGTTCCCAAGGGAGACAGAAAATAACAGCACCATGTGACAAGCTGCAGAGACAGAATGGGGGTGGAGGGGAGAGGGGGGAGCTTAGAAGTCTGCTTGGGTACATGATGAAGGGCTTTCCTGAGGAGGCTATATGCTTCATGGAGAAGGAATAGGAGCTGGCCTGGTAGAAGAGAAAGAGGTGGGGGAGGATACAGAGTTGTGAGGAAACACATTTTCTGTCATGAGGGAACTATTTTAGGTACTGCTGAAACAGTTAAAAAAAAACAAACACAACTTTAGCAAGAGAAAGGGACAGGGACAGGGACAGGTGACTGTGGAGTTCCAATTGATTTCCTCTTGCCAGAGAAGGGAAGCCACTGAAGAATTTTGGACAGGAAAATAATGTGAAAGGGGTGAATGGAAAGAAGAGGGAGAATGACACCCTGGTACTGGTATGGGGAGTGCAGAAGGGAGGGCTGGCTGACTGAAGCCCACGCCCACCTTCACTCACTAGTCATTCAACAAACAGTTCCTGAGGACCTGCCATGTACCAGGCTGAATACCAGCTTCAATCAGGCAATGAACAGGACTGGCAAGGACTCTGTTCTCAGGGAAGAGACCGACAATAGATAAACAACTAAACAAGCAAAGAAAGATCAGATAAGTGGTGCCTGGAAAATTAAACGAGGTGATAAAAGAGTTCTTGGGGAGCTCCCCCCCCCCCCTTCTGAATATTCACCAAGCCTCCTCTTGATCTAACTTTGATTTCCCTAGGAGGCTTTGCTCCTAGAAAAATCTCTACCTTAAATAATTGACCTAGCTCTCTGGGTTCTTCCAGTAAGCCTTGCCAGAGTAGGGATAGACAGCTAGTCTTCCCCACGGCCTGGTCAGCTTGTAATCCTTGCTGCAGGACTACGATTCTGCCAGAAATCTCAAGTCTAAGGCTAGAGGAAAGTCACAGCAACCTTGAGACCTTCCTGATCATGGTTCCCATGGCAACGTATCCCCCCTTGCCGCATCAGCACCCGACGCCCCCCCCCCCCATATCTAATACCTCCTTTAGAAGAGAAACATTTGATAGTATGGTTGATATTGTGTGTTCTTCTCTGAAAAATGGAAACTTAAAACTCGCCCGCCTCTGCTGGCAGGAGCCACCCCCACGGAGGCGCGCGCGCGTGTGCGTGTGCGTGTGTGTGTGTGTGCGCGCGCCTGGCTGGTGACTCTGAGACTGTGCTTCCCCAGCACCAAGCACGCACGGGAGCTGGAGGCTGGCTCACCACCACCAGGGCTCCCTGGTATGTATGTCAGAGCTTCTCAGTGCCAAAGCGATTCAGGCCAAGAACAAAAAAGCCAACGCTGTATAAAATGTAGCCAAAGAAACAAGGAACTGAAAAAGCCGATTTCCCAGTGTGCCCGTGGTCCCCCCCCCCCTCGTTTGACACATTTACTCACTGCTAGTTGTTTCATTTTTTTTTTTTTTATGAAAACTTTCAAAGACACAGGAAATTTCCCTGTACTTTAATGAAAACCTAACTAAAGCCCCAGAAGGGCCTCTGATTTTGTCCAGTTTCTCTGGGCTGCCTGGTAGTCATAGTTTTTCCTCTGGGAATTTAGCAGTCAAAGATGACTAAATTACAATGGGGGAAAAATGAGGAACATCTGTAATACATTCAACAATAAAGTTTAAAAAAAAAAAATAAATAATGACTAAATTAGGGTCCCTTGCTCATAGAGGTTTTTATTATAGCCGGGGAGAGAAGATTCTAATAAAAACCTTTCTTTTTAAAAATGTTTTTATTTTGATTTTTTAGTAGTTTACACCTTACAAGGTGCTTTCACATTCCCGATATGTCAAAATCATAAATTCAAAACAAGGAAATTTAGAGATCATCTTGGGAGGGGGGAGCAAATGCCTAGCATATATCGTGCTACTTCCTAAACTCCTGCCCATGGTAGACATTGCTAATCAATCACTCACTCATTATTGAACACATTTATTGGACATGTTATATTAGGAATACAGCAGGAAACCAGACAGACTTGTTTGCTATTCTTGTGGAACTCCAAGGGGAAGACAGACTTTAAACAGATAATTACACGCATGAAAATTGTTTTTTTAAAAGCCGTATGTGGGGGCAGACAAGGGCATTACACACCTGGAGGTAACCTAGGGATGGAGCAAGGTCAGGAAAGGCCTCCTTGAGGAAGTGATATTGAAGATGAAGTCTTGAGAGTAAGGAAACAGTCTCTGAGTGGGTGAAAAAAGAACCATTACATGCCAATATGAAAGATGGCACGACCCTGGCTGGTTTGGCTCCGTGGAGCGTCTTCGATTCCAGTCAAGGGCGTGTACCTCCGTTGCGGTTTGGTCAGGCCATGATTGGTGTCCCCCATCCCACCCCCTCCCCAACACTATCTGAAGATAAATGGAAAAATATCCTTGGGTGAAGATTATAAAAAAAAGAAAGAAAGATGGCATGGGTCAGGGCATCCTCTATGGCTAAATGTGGGGATATGGATACTAAATGGAGTATGTATCCAGAGGGAGACAGAAGTTGGTCCAGCCAGGCCTTGGGGGAAAAAAAATCAGTTGATAGGAGAGGGCTGGGAGAGTTGAGCAAAAGTCAGATTTATTTATCCTTCCCTTTACTAGGAATTGGTTTCTCACCTGCTATAATTTTAAAAGCCATAAATTATTTGCTACCTACAACGTGGTAGCAATTCACACAAACTCGCACATCTTCCTTGCCAGGTAAGTATTATTCTTCCAGTTTTACAGATGAAAAGAAAATAAAAGGGGGGGGGGTTGGGAGGACTATAGCTGTACTTAAAATCCCAAGACCTAAGATTACTCTAACAGCAATCAAAACTTGGAAAGCGACAGAAGAGTATTAACTGAGGAATGGGAAATACTACTGGGGGACAGCTGGGCACAGATGCCCAAGGTGAATAGACACCATTAGGCAGAAATTGAATGGAGCCGGGGGATGGGAGGGTGAAGGGGTGCTGGGGGGATGGCAAGGCTGCGAAGTGGCTCAGAGGGCATCCCTGAGCAGCTCCAGGCCTACTCTGCAGGGAGGTGCCCTGCTCTAACCACTACCCGGCCCTGCCCGGTTAATCATTTCCTGACCTTCCTTCCTCCTCTCGCCCAGGCCGCAGGATTGCCACATCCTCCTCCTCCTCCTCCTGCTTGCTTCCTGGCCTTCCTATTCCTTCGCCGGGTTTTACAAGGAGCTCCAGCTTCGAGGCAATATTTGTAGTAGCCCCGGAGGTCCTCAAGGCCGTGTCCCAGAGAGAACACAGGCTCGCTTAGGTGTAACGCCTGCTCCGACGGCCCCTGGCGGCTTTCCCTATCCACTTCCGACAGAGGGGTTAGAGTGGAAGGATCCTATCCCGTTACTCCTTCACCAATTACAGGCAGACTCAGTTTCCCCGCATTAAAAAAAAAAAAAAAAAAAAAAGGATGGTTACAGCAGCTGGCAGGGAGGTTTAAATGAGGTAATTGTGTATAAAGTGCCGGGGTAGGAGACAGGAGTAGGTGTTTAACAAATGTTAGATCCCTTCTCTTTTTATCTCCGGATTACCGGGACCTCGCGCTCGGCAAGCCCTGGTTAGGGCGATCTCTCCAACTTTCAGTGAAGGGTGAGGGCTGAAAGTCCTACCACGTGCTTGAGGTAACGCACATGGTGAGCTACGAGAGGGTTTGAACTCAGGTTCGTGGGCGCCCCGGCGGGTCCAGCCACGCAGCACCCAGGTGGCTGGCAATGGCCACGTGTTCAGAATGTTCAGAACCTAGAATCTGGTGGTCGGTGTCGCACCTGCCGCAGGGAGAATACTAAATCAATACGGCTGTGACACCTCTGCAGCCTGCTGGGCCACCGGGGGGCAGGCTCTTAACCCCTCTGAGTTTGTGTCTTACTGTGTTAAACGGGGGCTATAGTGCCTGTCTACTCGAGCGGTTTTTATTTTCTCCTTAACACTTTCTGTGTGGCCAGTTTTTGTACCACGGTGTAGTCAGACCACCACCCGCCATGCAGGATCTGTCTTCTGACTGCGAGCGCTCGCCAGGCCGCGGTTCACGCAGCAGACCGGACCGGCGTATCTCCGCCGGGCGCCTCAGCCTTCCAGGGACCCAGGTGAGCCGCGGCCGCCCGGGACGGCAGGGTTGATAAGGTCCTGTAGGAGTGGAGCCTCACTCTGGGACACTGGCGGGGGAGCTCCAGGACCCCAACCCGCGGGAGTGGACGAGGGCGGAGCTGGGCCCGGGGGCGTGGCCTGTCCAGGGAGGGGCGTGGCCGGCCTGGGAAGACGGAAGCCCCCAGTTTAGAGGTGACGGCAGAATCCGGATCCTGGAGTTCAACGTTCTCCGGAGCGGGGCTTCTGGAGACGGCGGGCGAGAAAACCCGGCGCCCGGAAGCCTTTGCTTTCTTTGACGCAAGGGCTCGGGACGCAGCCGCCGTCGGCCGAGCGCCCAGCGAGGAGCGACCCCAGACGGAGCCTTCGAAGTCCCTCCGCCCCCACCTCGCCCAGACCCGGAGCCTCGGTCTTCCTCGCCGCTCGCCTAGTGGCCATGGAGTGTCCGCACCTCAGCTCCAGCGTCTGCATCGCTCTGGACTCAGCCAAGTTCCCCAACGGCTCCCCGTCGTCCTGGTGCTGCAGCGGTGAGTGCGGCCCCAGGCGGCCCTGCCGCGCACCCGAGGCCCCGGCTCCGCCGGGCCTGCCGTCTAGGGGCCGGGGGTGGCTGGCGCGCGGACTCGGCGAGGGGTGAGGGCGAGCCGGGTCCGGCGGCTGGGGAGGGGTACGGTGAGGCCGGCGCGGGCGGGCGCGGCGGGCGGAGCGGCAGCGGCTCCTTTGTTTTCCCCGGCCCGACGGTCGAGCCGGCGAAGGAGAGGCCCGCGCGGGGCGGGAGCCCGCGGGGGCCACGAGCGCCTGGAGGCAGCGACGCGCCGGGACCCTGGCCCCGCGGCTCGCGCCCCCGCCCCGCCCAGGGGCTGTGCTCGCCCGTGTCGCCGGGTCGGGGGCTGTAGGGACGGTTGTCCGGCCCCCACAGGGCGGTCGCACGTGTAGGAGTGCCCGAGTTGCGTCCCGTCCTCGGCCAGACTGGTAAAACGCCGCTCTACCAGTGCAGCTTTGTCTGGGCAGCGGGGTGCCCTGGGGCCCTTCGCCGCCTGCCCCGGCCCCGCTTCCCTTCGCTTGCCCACAGGCTCAGGCAACCCGACCCACGCCGGGCGGGGCTCCGAGCCGCGAGAGGTCTCGGAACTCCGGCGGCCGAAGTCGGAGTCTTCCATCATCCAGGGAGGTTGAAGTTTGAAAACAAGCTGCAGCCTGAAAAGCTCAGGAGGCTGATCCAGCAGATGCTTTGGAGGGGCGGCTCGATTGCCTTTAAGATGTTTTGGGTGTCTGAAATCGCTCTGGGATTCGAGTTCATGTGCTGTACAGTCGTTATTCGGTTTATGTAATGCTTTTGCATTGCTTAAGCAAATGAACTCCTTCTGCGGGGCCCGTTGGAAACCCCAGTGCCCTCTTATTGTCTGCTCTAGCGATTTAGGATCGCACCGGCCACACTGCTTTGATTACTTCCTGGTAGGGCCCTGGTGCCGCCGCTAGTCTTTGTTTATTAGATTGGAGGTGATCCATGCTAGTAGCTTAGATTGTAGTGTAAAATTTGAATGGTACCCTTCAAAAATCTTAAGTTCATTTGAAGAAATATAGGGAAACAACGATAGTACGATTTACTGTGTGACATTTCCCGTAATGGGCTGGAGCTGGGAAGGTAGTTTAGTGGATGCCTTAACACTTTTGACAGGTTACTTCTTATATGGTGATTATGTCCTTGGAGAAAAACATAGGTAAACCACAAAGAAAAATGTACTTTAGGATAAGGAATAGAAATAACCCCGGTTCCCTGGAGCTCTCAGAGGTTTGATGCTTTGCTTGCCTTTGTAAAGTCAGATTGTTTTCTACATCAAACCTGTAAAAATTAACCGGTTAATTGGTTTTACAGTGCAATATTGCAGTTCTTTTATGAGGGTGCAGAAAAATGTATAAAGTAGCTCTTACATACGAATGTTTCTTTCATAGTAAATGTTGAGTATGGAGTATGAGACAACAAATAAGGTGTATCAAATTGCCTTACAAATTGGTTGTTGGTGCATTAGCTATAATTGTAGTTATAGCTGTGATGCTATAACTGTAACTTAATTTTTTTTCCAGAAGAGATTTGGAAAAAAAAAAGGCCAAACGAGGAAAAGCATACCTCATGAGGACTAATGAAGTTACTCTTGCTCATGTGTTGTAAATAAACTACAAGAATGCAAAGTGGACAGTTAGCACACTTCTGTTTTTTTCTGGTAAAATCACATAGAATTTTAAAATGGCCTCACTGGGCATATGCAAGTGGCAGATACCCTCTCGTGAGTCGGTCTTGCCTTTGTCAGGGAGACCAGTTAACTGTGGAAAAGAGATGCAGAAAATTGGTCATTTCTTGAGGAACTTATGTTAAAATAGAACATAACTAACAGACTTGTGCTGATGACAAGAACATTTCTAGTCCTAAGGCAGGGATGATTTCTGTCTAGGGGTTAGGCTGACACCTTTGCATCTTGCAACAAAGTTTATTTCTGACCTTACTTTTTAAGGATGGTTATAGTCATGAGCTTGAATTTGTAGAACCAATAATGCTAGTTTAACTTTATGTGAGGTTTTTCTTCTGTCCATATTCTGTGAATTGAACCGTGTTCATGTGGACCTCTCATTTTAACCTGTTGGCATCTATTCATTGATATAATCTAGAGTTATTGTATTGAGCTCAATCTTGTTCTTGCCTGCCTGTTGTTTCAGCGATTAAATGATTAGTAAATCTCTGAGTCCTTATCTGTGAGACTAACTAATTCATCATCTTGGAGCATTGTATATTCTTGAATTTCTTATTTTTGGTTTTTGGTAGGGAACCAAAAGGGTAGCCAATGTGTTGAATAATGCTGTGACTGGGTATTGAGTCTGATTATGTTCTTATTAAGGAGCAAAAAAATCCCTCTTTTGGCACTGGGACAATAAAGTAATGTCCTTGCCCTGTTTTCATTGGAATTACACTGCAGTGAAACAGCTTTAAGGGAGCCAAGCAATTGCAAAAGACGAACATCCTTAGGCCCTATTAGCTAGCAGTACATCCTTGGACAAGTAGTTCTGTTTCCTTTAAGCATCAGTTTCATGATGTCATCTGTAAAAAGGGTAATACTTCATAGGTTGCTGTTAGGATGAACAAGGCAATTTTTGTGAAAAATGTTAAGAAACTTCTATATACTTTTCAAGTAGTAGGAGGTATTATATGTCAGAACATCTTTATCAAGAGGACTCTGAATACCTAAATATCTAAAGCCCCTTAAGTAGGACCTAGGACAGATTGGGTTCATGCTGAATTATGCTTTCCAAGGAGATATATTACTCAACAAGATTAGGGGGTCTAAGAAGTAATTATACTTCAGAATTAACTTGAGCTTCTTATCTGTGGAAGGCACTGTGTGGTAGGTTATGTGTGCAATTGTGTACTATAGCTGTTCTCAAACTTTGTCCTCAGGACCCCTTTACATTTAAAAATTACTGAGAACCCAAAGAGTCTTTGTATGGCTTATGTCTATTGATAATTGCTGTACTAGAAATTAAAACAAAAATTTTAAATATGTATTTATTAAATCACAAATAACAATAATAAATCCATTACCTGTTAACATAAATAATAGTTTCCATAAAATATCTTTTCAAAACAAAATTTAGTGAGAAGAGTGGCATTATTTTATATTTTTGCAACTGTTGTCTAGTTTAATAGAAGACAGCTGGATTTTCATATCTGCTTTTGTAGTCAGTCTCTGGTTATATCACACATCATGTAGTCTCTGGAAAACTCCACTGAATATTTGTGAGAGAATTAGGGTAAAAAATAAAAGTAACTTTTTAATATTATTTATGAGAATTGTTTGACCTCATGTGCCCCTGAAAGGGTCTTGGAACCTCTCAGGAGTCCAGGACCACACTATAAGAACCTACTGGTATACAACTATAGTAACAGCTAAGGACACCTGCTCTTACCAAAATAGCTTTCAAGTATTAGGGAAATCCTTAAAGTGTTAAGGCTAGCAACGCTTACGTTTGTGGAGACCCACAGAGCTTTTGAAATATATTAGCTGGGCAACAGATTATGGGGTCTAATAGTCCTTTGCTTTCAAGAAAGTTAGTCTAATCTAGTTGGGGAGAGACAGGAAGCTAACTGGTTAGAAGATAAATCCATGTTGTGGTTTAAGGTAAATGTTGAAAATAGCTAACTCCTAATAAGGTAAAAGCTGATTTATGTCTAATCTTTGCTAAAGGCATTCCCATTTTAAATGAAAAAGTTTTAAATAAAAACTAGGACATTCTCTCAAGCTTTTTGTTGTGTGCACATACCAGATGTTACATTCAGACGCTGGAGGCTTGGGTATTTCTTATTTCTGTGAATAGAAGAGTTGAACCAGTGGCACAATACCCGGGGTGGGGAGGGAACACAAATTGTTAAAAAAAAAAAATGCTCTATCCACAACTGTTCTTAATAACTAAGGAAGGCTGAAGACCAAGCACGTGAACTCCAGGGGTTTGGGTTAGCCAATTAAATTGGAAATGTTATAATAGGACAGGCATCAGAAATTTTTCCTGATTAATTTTTCAAAGAGTTGTGTATGCTTCTTTATAGGTTTTCAGTATACACTCCCCCCCACATTACTCAAGAAAAGTAAGGTGTAGATCAAGTAAATTGTTCAGCAGGTTTGGGTGGATATTGGAGATAATCCCTATTTTTGAAGATCATGTAATAGGATGAGATACTGATTATTGAGTCCTTGTCAGTGGTAATAAATTTGTGATTTGTGACAAAGGTGAGAAATCATCTTGATGGAGTGATGAGTTATTTTGTGTCAGATTTCTCTTACAACCTACATCTAAAGAGGACTCTTGTATTCTCAGTAGACTAAATTTTCTAGATAGGATCATTTATTCCTTCGGTCAAAAGCATTTACTGCTTTTTATTAACACTCTGTGAAGTATTTATTAAGTGCCTAGCACATAATAAGACTATAAATATGTGCTTAAAGAATGAAGAAATATTCTTCCATTTAGATCATGGCTGGAATGGTCTTTATTTAACTTTTTGTTGAAAATAAATGCAAAGTTAAGTGAGCTTGCCCTAGAATACTTTCTCACTCCCAGTATTTTAGTCTGTACACTTTGGATTGTGAGCATGTGACCATCTGCAGTGTTGTTACCACATTGAATTTGTATTCTTTTGACATTCTTTGTTTATAGAGGGGCAGGTGGACGTTGTGTTGAATGTGAATGAGGCAGTTAAAAATCATTGGACAGGTGATACTTTTTTCACATTAATTCTAAAGATTAATACTTTAATTTTATTTACTTTTCTGAAGAATTTAAACTTTTTAAGGTAATATTTGTAAGCTTGAGTCAAATGTAATTGTCTTTCTAGTTTTTCTGGCAGTAGTATTCCTCCCCCACTGCCACCCCCAGAACCTTAAGGCAGCCTTGCCATGTTTCCATAGTCTCTAAATAATTAGTAGTAGATGTGAAAGAGCTGGAATTTAGAATGTGCTACGTGTGTGTTTGAGGAGGCTGCAGTCTA